GCCAGTTCAAGATCATATCCTCATCCCAGATTACTCCTCTCAGACTAAAAAAATGCATCCACTACCCACAATGTTTGCAGATGCTTCCTACTGAAAATGAGTGTTGGTGTCATCACTTTCAAAAGAAATATGAGAGCGCAGCAATCTCAATTTGCGTACTTTTTCAATAAGCTTTTTAAAAGGTATAATAATAATAATTCGTAAATCTAGAAATTGGAGAAGAAACAGATTATTGGGAGTGGCCGTAATATCTTCCAGTTTTTTTCAGGTGATGACAGGTGCTCTGAGAATAATCCTGTCTATAAAAGGATGTATTACCTCCTTTTATTCTCCGAAAGGAGGGAAAGCGAAGATACCTTTTCAAAGGAAGAAGTGAAGCAGTCCTTCGAGAACAGATCGTTTGACATAACATTAGTGCATTAGTATGTAAAATGTTGGATTTTTCATCTTCTATCTCAAGGTCTTCTTAAAAGAGAAGAAAGTCAAGATATCCTTTTGAAAGAGGATGAAAAGGATGAAAAAGCTCTACCTTTTCATGACAGAAGTGACTGTTCAAACCATGTAGGATTATCTAGATTTTTCAAACCATTCTTAAGTCTGTATACTATTTATACTGAAATCCCCAAATCCAATTACTAGCTCTGGTAAAACTGAGTATTGTGTTGACAACTGATTTTTATAGTAACATTTTTCAGCATAAGCATAAAGCTATTGTAAGAGTGAATAGCCCATTGGCATAATAGTAGTGGTAGCAGTAATAATAATAATAGTAGTAGCAGTAAATAATAATAATGATGATGATGATGTTCAAGGGAAATGAATCTGTGTGGTGAGATATAAGCATACTTGTCTGTTTCTGTTTTTCTTCCATGGATTTTTAACTTTATCTGTAGCCTTAAATAAATAGCAAGGAATGCGTGAATCTTAAAAACACTCTTGGAGCTCACTCAGTTCTTTCAGCAAATAGCATGTGTTAAAAACAAATCTGAAAGCTATATGGATTTTTGCCTAGGACTATTTTATTTATGGTGACAATGGTCATGGAGATTAAGAACTGTTATGTACTCCAGAAGATTCCTGCAAAAGTGGAAGTTACACAGTTACAGGGAAATATCCCTGTTCTTCCAAAAAAGAAAATGTAGGAACGAGAAGCAGTCCGAGCACTCAAGTGCTGGAGGTCACTTGGAACAGTGAAGCCATTGACTTCTGTGCAAGCTCTGAAACCATTTCTCTTCATCCTTCAAGGGCCCTTTTCATGGGCTGCTGCTGCGGAGGCAGCAGTTTCTTCCTTGAGGCCAAGCCAGGACTTGTGTTCTGTTTCTTCAAGGTGCTGTTAATACGGCTGAGCCTTCCTTGTGATTCACTGACACACTGGAGGCGGTGCTGCTTCCCTCGTACTGCTCTGGCCATATGTCTTTCCTCTCTCCTTGTACCACTCTGGTTCTGCCTTGACTATTCCATAGGAAAATACATCAGCAAAACCCCCCAAAACCTGGCTTGCTGAGCTGAGCTGGCTTACCACATAGCCAGGTGGACAGCAGAGGCAGTGCAAGTGGGGACCGAAGAGAGGATGGGGGAACGAGATCTGCCCTTTTGCTGGCAGTAGAATCATAGAATCATTAGCTTGGAAGAGACCTTTTTTTTCTTTGCTAGCAGAGTTTTATTTATTTCATCCAACCATATCCTTACTGGGACTGAGGACAGTAAGAAGAAGGTGACAATGGGGCTATATCCCCTTTTGCATTCATGCTGTAGGCAAATTTATTTACAAATTCAAGTTCAAAATGATGAAATTCACCTCTGTCATTCTATTGCAAAGTCTATGAGGTTGCTTTGCCATAGACTTCTCTTTCCATGTATTTATAAAGACAGATTTGAGGAAATACCTAATTTCTGCTAAATGAGATTATTACTGAGGTTTGGCCTTACTTCTGCACCACAGTGGTGAATCATTTAAGAAAGGTGCAAGGTTTTTGTCTTCCTGTGCCTTGACAATTTGCTACAACAAAAGTTGGACTTGATCTTGAAAGTCTTTTCCAACCAAAACTGTTCTATGATTCTATGATAATTGGCTAATAAGCAAATTTAGGAGGAAGGAAATTTAGGTGCCTTTGGTCTATAGGGGCAGTAAAAGAAATCATTCTTCTTTTAAAGGCACTCTAACCTGTTTTGGGATAGGCCTGTTCTCCTCATTGTCAGTAGAGACAGAGGAAAGAAGATAATTTCCTGTACTTTCGAAGTTATGAGTGGAGAACATCTCCCTCTAAACACAAATGCAAAAGACATTGCATGTTTCAAGCTTGGATTAAAGATAATGTGAAAAAACTCCAACATCACTTAAAATAATTATGTTAATCAAATAGAGCCATATAATTTGAAAATTACAAGATCAGCCAGTTTCCAAAGAAATGTTGAAACAAATGCAGTGCTTCTAAACAGAATTTGTGGAATCAGCCATCCTGAGAAAGTCATTTACTAAAATGAACATGAGACTTTGGTTCACTTAGAGAAAGCTCCTGTCTTTCAGGTGTAGTTTCTTGGTTCTTATGGAGAAAGTCTAAACGTTACAGAAAATTTCTTACTTCTTTTACTTTAAAGATCCTGAGCTGTTGCTTTCTTGGACTGAAATTTCCAGCAGAGGGAGCTTTACTATTACATGTAGTAAAAACCCAGCTTTACTCAATATTTTTCCCCTACAATCTAAAAAAGTGTGAGACGATTGGGTTTTTTTTTTTTTATGGTGTAAATTCATGACAACTTAATAGGGAACAATTTAAAAGGGGCAGAAAGGGCAAACCCTTTCCTAGAAAGAACATTTCCATACGTAGTGTTACAGTATTTCCTCGTGGTTCCTTTGAAATCGGAAAGTTCAACAAAAGTTAGTAAGTGTACTATGTTAGTAAT